AAAAACAAATAAGAAAGCAGAGCCATTATCTTTTATTTGGTTGGACTTACTATGTGGTTACCGATCAGATTGTTGACCAAAAGAACATTAGCCCACCAGTATTTCTTACATCCTGTCCCCAGAAACTGGTGGGGTTGCAGAGAAAAAAGGGAGGAAAGGCCAATGGCTAAACACATAATGAAGATATTTAATGGCTGCGTCCTGGAGAAAAGTCAACAGGAAAGAAAACAAATTAGAGAATATCAGACAATATATGTACATCTCAAGAGGTAGTGGAGCTCAGGTGTATTGAAACTGAAATGTACGCATGACCACAAATAAATGAACAGAGCTGAAATGATTTAAACTTAGAGTTAAATTGATAAGTACAATAGGTAGAATATTTGATTGCAGTTTCTCTATATAAAAGATTCCTTTCATATATTTGTAAGTATATGTATACATACATGTATATACGGTAAATATTTTATGCTGTGGTTTTTGCTACTTCTGGAATAGAAAAGTTGTCATTTCCAGACATTTAGGCTTTTTTTATATTATTGATAATTAATTATAAAAACATTAATCATCTGCAGGTCTATATTTATGACTGACATCGAGGCCTTGCTTGAAAGTGTGACGTGACCATCATTTTAACACACCTTTTGATCCTGTTGAGGAGATACCTGGCCACCAAAGTGGCATTCATTTCGCCGTCAGCCCTTTTGATAAAGTTGAGCAGCGTTCTGGCACTAAGCAGCCCACTGAAACACAAGTCAAAATTAACAAGCAGGGACCGAGACTCTGAAAATATTTTAGTTCTTTTTACTCACCCCATGAGTAAAAAAGTGTCTACAGCCAGAAACACAGGTCCACTATAGGAGATGACGTAGAGCCGGTTGCTTTTAAGTGTTTCTAAAAAAGAAACAGCCATCTCAATAGTATCAGTATAAAACCATTGGTAAAAAATTATCAACGTCATAAGTGATTGGCTTCTAATACCCAAGCTGTTCTGAATGGTTAATTTTGCCAAGTGGCCACAAATGATCCATAACAGGCTGAGAACACGAATGCCATACAGAGAGGAGTAAGCTCCTCCTGGGATGGAGGATGCTGTGCTCAAGACACCTTTGCTAGTGTTTTGTAGACAAAGCATTTGCAGGAGCCGTTCCAGACAGTGTCGAGAAAAACACAACCTGACGTGGTTCCTGGTATCTGCAAAGACAACATATCAACAGGAGTATTTGCTTTGACTCTACTGCATTGATCTAGTTTTCTAGATCATAAATGCAAGTAATCTTGTAAAGTAAATCTTTGCAGAAGTTTTACAATACAGGTAATTAAAGAAAAAAACAATAAAGAAAACAACAGATAATTATTAAACCCACTTTTTCCATAGTTAATCTTGGATGATTCTGGAGAAAGGGCGCCCCCTTTATTTCTCTGCCAATGCTTTAAAGCAGTGAAGAGAGTGGCAGCGAGTGGAATTGCAACTATTACAAAGCACACAAACCTGCAGGAAAAATAATCACAATAAATATACATTTTATTGGAAGTCATAGGCATAGTATTGTATTGTATGTATCAAGATTCCCAGTCATTCAGGTCATGGTCAAGGTTGGAGAGTTCAGTTAGGTACGATTTTGAAGAAAATGTTTCACCTCTTATCCAAGAAGCCGAAGCTAAACCTGAAGCAGAACTGAAGAAGCTTATTGGATGAGTGGCGAAACTTTTTTTTAACTCTTCAATTTGTATTGTATTGAGGTTTGGAACATTTGTCTATTTAAAATTACATTTGATTTCAAGCAACAAATTCCAGTTTGAGCCACTGATATCTGCCCTTTTATTTGTGGGAGGCAAAAAAGAGGAAAGTCAGCCAGGTATCATTATCATTATCATACTGCCATACAGTGTATAATGATTTTTGTTATTGTGGGCCAGATATTGTGAGAGTATCATATCGCGAAGTCCCTGCCATACTCCGTCCTACATTGAAGATCCATCTGGAGAGTTTGTTAAATTTAAGTGTGGACTATTTTAAGTGGTCTTTATGTCAGGTAGGAGGTTGACCATTCCATCATAAACCACATTGGCAACCGGGCCTAGCAGTACATACTTTTGAGACGGTACCAAAAAAGATCATATAGTTATATACTGACAAACAGGTCACATGAAATGCATCTGGAGCAATAACATTGGACATTGCAATAACATTGCTTACAATCTTCGGTCTTTATTGATCTGACGGAGTTCATACGGAAAGAATATTAACTTTTCCTACTTGACACTACCAGGGCCTTTACAACATTTGAATTGAACTGAGTTCAAGTTTTAATATAATGCAACACAGTAAAAGTCCCACTTCAAATCTTGCGCTCCTCCTAGTGGCAACTCGGGTTGCGCGCACCGTACTTTGGGAATCCTGATGTAGGGTTGCGCGCACCGTACTTTGGGAATCTTTGGGAACTTAGTATTTGTGAATGACTTATATGAAACAAAGCCTGAATGTTTCACCTGCATAGCCGATGTCACCAACATTTTAAATATACACAGTTGTCTATAATTGGGGATGTTAAAACTATGTATTTATTATTTTTATTGCAATGCAACTAAACGCGAAAACCCGTATCCAACGATCAACAGAAGTGGGCGGGCTAAGACACCACCTATCACCGACATACAAAGCTGTTTTAGGCTGTCATCCATTCTGATGAGGATCGCAACGACCCAAGTATAATTAATGGTCTATAGTAGGCCCGTCTTTAATAATACCTTTTAAAATGTCGCTCCACTTACTGAGAACAGCGTACTCCTGTGGGGTCTTCTGGATAATTTCCTGAAGAAAAATGTTGGTCTCGTTCTCGCATTTTAGAATAGAATAGAATAGAAAGCCTTTATTGTCATTATACAAGGTACAACGAGATTTTAAAGCTTCCCTTAGGGTGCACGCAGTGGACAAAGTAAACATATTAAGGGAGAATATATACACATAAAATAAAAATAAAATTAAAATATTTAGATAAAAAATAAATAAATAAATAAATAAAATTTTTACAGTGTATACGGACTGATGTGCAAGGAAACAAAGTGGTTAAAGTGACTGGCAGCGAGGGATAGAGGTAGTATATGTAGGCTGGTATGACATGATAAAACAGTGCAAATATGCAAGATGCTGACATGGTTGTGCAATATAATAGTGTAAATATGCTGACGTAGTAGTGCAAAATATGTAACATGCATCATGTTATTTATTTTGTTCTGA